CGGGCGGCGGGCGGCGGGCGGCGGGCGGCGGGCGGCGGGCGGCGCGGGCGCGGGGCGGCTCCTGCGTGCTTGTGGCCGCCGGTTTTAAAAGTCAGGGCTTGGAAGCGCACACAAAACCCAGGGGAAAGTGGGAACCCACTGCCGGAAGCCGTGGTATCCATGGAGACGCTGCCGGAAGTCGTGGTGTCCACGGAGACGCTGTCGGAAGACGGGGTTGCTAGGAGGCCCGGGCGCGTCCGCCTAGTTGCAAATGGCTGAAGTCCCAGATGATGACGACTCTGGCCCCGAAGAAAGTGACTTTTCCAAGGAAGATGGGCCGGAACCAGCCAGATCTAAGTATTCTGTAGACAGGGGTGCGCTAGAGCACCTCGAGCATCAGACAGGAAAGGTATCAGAAACAGCCACTGAAGATGAAGAGGAATATGATGCATTAGGGTCTCGCAGAGAAAGTGAGGTCGAACAAATTAGCACAGAAGGTGAAGGGCTGGAGCCCGAGAGGCCTGAACCGCCTGACCTCGGTGAACTGTATAAAAGTGCCGAACCAAACGCCACGGCAGAGGCAGGCCCGGAGCCACCCACGCAGATTGAGACCGAGGAAAAGAGCTTCAAGGAGGGGAAGTCGGAGAATGCTGAGAACGTGCGGCTGAAAGCAAGACGGACGTCCGAGAAAGACCCTGCCAAGGGGTCCCAGATGGACCTACTGAGAGAAATCGAGCCAGGAATTCCTCAGGTCAAGTCGGAGACAGTCGGGGAGATGGGAGGGGAGCTTTTCAAAGATCTGGAGGGCGCTGCGGATGAAAAGAGTGAGGATCCACACCTAGAGCCACCAGAGGAGGCGAAACCAAACGTCACAGAGGATGTCCTCCTGGGGTCAGTCACAGAAACAGGTCCAGCACGACCAACGGAAGCCGTGTCCAAGTTACTAGAGGAAACTGAACCGGAGGCTCCAGAGGAATCACTTGGAAAGCAAGATGAAGAGACAGGCCTAGAGCCTCCAGAGCAGATCAAACCAGATGTTCCAAGTAAGAAACCAAGAGAAGCAGTTGAAGAGACAGATTTACAGCCAACAACGATGACCAAACCAGAGATTCCAGAGGAGACACAGAGGGAGTCGACTGAGGAAGAAAGCACAGAACCACCTCAGCAGACCAAACCAGCGTTTCCAGAGCAGAAACCAAGATCGTCTGCTGAGGAAGCAGATACTCAACCTCCAGAAGAGACTAAACCAGAGATTCCAGAGGAGACACAGAGAGAGCCAATTGAGGAGAAAGATCTAGAGTTGCCACATGAAGCCAAACCAAGAAAGACACATGTAGAATTTCCCAAGGAAGATGGGCCAGAACCAGCCAAATCTAAGTATTCTGTAGACAGGGATGTGCTAGAGCACCCCGAACATCAGACTGGAAAGGTGTCAGAAACAGCCACTGAAGAACAAGGACTCCACAAAGAGCTTAACATCAGTAAAGAATCGAATTCACATTCCCCAGAGTTTCAGACAGAATTAAGAGAGCCCATTAGTGGAAAGAAAGTTCTAGATCTCTCCCAAGAGCGGAAGGAACTGGTACCTGAAGATAAAAACACCCAGCCCAAAAAAAGGACTAAGTTACAATTTGAGTATCTTAATTGGGACCCAGAGAACGTCGCAGAGTGGATTAGCCAGCTAGGCTTCCCTCAGTACAAGGTAGGCCTGAATCACATGCTCTCATCCTTCTGCCTCTTCTTCCCTCTAACCTGCCCTGAGCTCTCACTTGTTCTTCGCCAGAAAGAGCATTGAAAAGTCCTGAACTGTGGTAGAAGTCACTTGGGTTTTAATTTTGACCTCGCCACTGATGGATATTTGTATTTTGGGAGAGAAAGGGAAGGTCACATCTGTTTGTTTTTCCTCTTCATACCAGTGATTACACTTCCCTGCAAGTCTTGAAAAACCAAGAAATGTATATAGGCCTCTTTTCATAGGAAACTGTATTTTTAAATCGGTTTTGTCCAAGGTAGGCTTTTTGGTACTTTGTGAAATTTAGTGGCAACTCCCTTAGCTTGAACCTGCACTATTCTATTCATCTTAAGTGTTTGCCCCCAGTATGTCTTATGTATTATGAGTGCTTAAGTGTATTGTTAGCCAATTAACCAAAAATAGTTTTATTGAAAAGGTAGTGTAAGCTTTTATTTTATTGATGCCAACTGTGTTTTAGTCTACTACAAAAAAACACAGATCTGGAACCTTCTGTACCTCCTGTACTTAAAAATATAATCAAGATTGCCGGGCTCAGTGGCTCAGTCTGTAATCCTAGCACTTTGGGAGGCCGAGGTGAGTGGATTGCCTGAGCCTGCAGATTCCAGACCAGCCCAGGAAACTTGGTGAGACCTCATCTCTACAATAAATCAAAAATTAGTGGGGCATAGTAGCACGCACCTATAGTTCTGGCTACTTGGAAGGCTGAGGCAGAAGGATCACTGAAGCCCAGCAGGGCGATGCTGGGGTAGCCGTGAAGTATGCCACGGAACTCCGGCCTGGGCGACAGAGTGAGACTCCAACTCAAAACATATAAACAAGACACGAAGAAACACTGGTTGTAGCATGCCAAAAAAAAATGTTAAGGAACAGTGTGAAATTTAAAAAAGAGCTTAGATGGAAAGATAAGGTATCATTAGGACAGAAAATAAATTTTGGACAGGCACAGTGGCTCACGCCTATAACCCCAGCGCTTTGGGAGGCTGAGGTAGGAGGATCACTTGAAATCAGGAATTCTAGGCCAGCCTGGGCAATACAGTGAGACCCCATTTCTACAAAAAATTAAAAAATTAAGTGCTGGGCACAATGGCTCATGCCTATAATAATCCAGTACTTTGGGAGACTGAGGTGGGAGGATTACTTGAGCCCAGACGTTTGAGACCAGTCTGGGCAACACAGCAAGTCCTCATCTTTACCAAATTAAAAAAAAAAGTCACAAAATTAGCTAGGCATGATGATGTGCACTTGTAGTCCCAGCTACACAGGAGGCTGAGGTGGGTGGATGACCTGATGTGATCCCAGGATGTGGAGGCTGCGGTGAGCCATGATTGTGTCATTGCACTCCAGCCTGGGTGACAGAAGAGACCCCCAACTCAAAAAAACAAAAACAAAAATATATAAAAAATAGAAATGAGCTGGGTGTGGTAGCATGCCCCTATAGTCCCAGCTACTCGGGAGGCTGAGGTGGAGGATCACTTGAGTCCAGGAGTTCAAGGCTGCAGTGGGCTATGATTACATCACTGCACTCTACCCTGTGGGTGACAGAGCGAGATACTGTCTCCAAAAAAGAAAATAAATTTAACTTGTTTCTCAGTATAGAACCAGAGATAAACTTGATTTCTTCCATCCTTCCTCCCTCTTTCCCTTCCTCCTTCCTTTCCCTCCCTCCTTCCACTTCCTTCTGTTTGCAGCACATTTTCTGAGTGATGTTCTTGTTGTACTCACAGGAGTGTTTTACCACCAACTTCATCAGTGGCCGAAAACTCATCCAGGTAAACTGCTCCAACCTCCCCCAGATGGGCATAACCGATTTTGAGGACATGAAGGTGAGTTGTTTCCACAACGTCCCTACGGAGCACAACTGCACCACGGCTCAACCCAGCCTCCCTTTCTTCCAGCCTGGCCTCCCATTGCTGTCAACGGTGTCATCATACTCCCAGTCTCCTGGGCCCACAGTGGCTGCTGCTCTCTACTTTGATCCCTACAAAGATCCTAAGAACTGTTTGTCCTGTGGCAGTTATGCCGTCTGGTTTTCTCCAGTTCCACCTTTCGGTCTTGTGTGGCCTCACACCTCAAACACTGCAGTGGCCTCCTGCTTTTACCTCTCTCCATGGGCCCTTTGAATTCCAGGGCCCTGAGTTTAGGCTCTCGCTTTCCAGCAACTTATGTGCTTTTCAGAAACCTTCTTGGGTCTCTTCTGCTTACTAGATAGTTAAGGATATAAGACCCCCCCAACAAGGTTCCTCCCTGCCACTCCACCACATGAATCTTGGGCTCCAGCCAACTGGTCTAATCCCCTTCTTGCCACTCTGTCTAGTGCCTTCCTCCCTCTTGTCTCTGTTCAGTTCCCCCATCCCCTGTATTACTAATATGAATTTTCATCAGCCTTCAGAATCAGTTCATCATTCTCATCTCCCCAAAAGTCTTTCCTAACATTCCCAGTCTACAGCAACCCCTCCCAAGCTCTCATAACATTTTACGGGCAACCCCTCTTGGGTCCCCTCCCACTGTGGGAGCTTTTCTGTCTTCCCAATAAATCCTGCTTTCTCAAAACAAAAAAACCAAAATACTAAGGAAAAAGAAAAAAAGAAAAAAAAAGAAGACATTTTATGTTTCCAGCACCCATTTTGGACTTATTAACACCATATGCATTTTGCCTGCTTTAATGTCAACTTTGAAATGTTTCCCAGGCTCATCTCAAATTCATGGGCTCAAGCAATCTCCTGCTTTGGCCTCCCAAGGTACTGGGATTACAAGTATGAGCCACCATGCCCAGCCTGGGCCTCAGTGTTCTAAACTCTCCAGCACCAACAGTTCACAATATGCTCGTTTGCATAAAGTACCCTTCAATGGTAGCAGTTTGCGGTTAACAAAGCATCACAAACATCATCTCATTTGTAACCTGTCCTTTCATGCCATACCCCAACATCACCATGGTTTCACTCAGTACAACCATGCTATAAATGCTCCCCCTCCATGGTTTCCAAATTCAGATAGTCTTCAGAATAAGCTGAGATTTGTTCTGAATAGATCCCTAGGTTCCATCCTTCAGAGATTTTGGTTCACTGTGGCTCTTCCTCAGGCCTTAGAACCATGTAATTCCATAAGTCATGTGATTTAGAAAATAAGAAAACTACTCTTGTTAATACCCAAGTGCTTTTACTGGTAACAAGATAAAAGGAAATTCTTGAAATCGTTAAACACACAGTCCTGGGTAAGTACCTAATCTCTTAGATTCTGCTTATAGCTGTCCTGTGCTGAGCACTACTGTGTGTTGGACCCCAATTATTTCACCTAATTCCCATTTTACAAAAGGGGAAACTGAGGTCCAGAAAGGTAAAGCAGGTTGCCCAAGATCATTCAGACAATAAGTTTATTTTTTTTTATTTTTTTTGAGTTGGAGGTTCACTCGTCACCCAGACTGGAGTGTAGTGGCCGCTCCCAGCCACTGCAGCCTCGACCTGCTGGGCTCCGGTGATCCTTCCACCTCAGCCTTCCAAGTAGCTGGAACTACAGGCGCGTGCTACCATACCCGGCTAATTTTTTGATTTATTGTAGAAATGCAGTCTCACCAAGTTGCCCAGGTGGGTCTCGAACCCGCGGGCTCAGGCAATCCACTCACCTCAACCTCCCAAAGTACTGGGATTACAGGCTTGAGCCACCGCACCCGGCCCAATCTTATTTATTCTAAGAACAAGCTAGACCCAGTAGCATTACACCTGCTTCATCTTTCTTTCTTAGAAAATAATTCTCAAAGTATTTTTAATTATTCACTGTTTCCAGTGAACAAAAAGAACTTTGTGGTAAATATTTGGAGAATACAGATTAGTTGTTTATTCCTTTTTATGCATGATTTTATATTAAAGTATAGCCTTATATACTTTATAATATCTCAGCAATTTTACTACACTTGCCTTGTTGCATATTATTTAAATAGCACTGACTGGATGCGCCAGCTCATACCTATAATCCCAGCACTTTGGAAGGCAGAGGCAAGTATTGCTTGATTCCAGGAATTCGAGACCAGCCTGGGCAACTTGGCAAGATCTCATCTCTACAATAAATCAAAAAATTAGTTGGGCTTGGTGGCACATACCTGTAGTTCCAGCAACTTGGAAGGCTGAGGTGGAAGGGCTGATTAAGCCCAGCAGGTCAAGACTGCACTCTAGCCTGGGCGGCAACAGAATAAGACTCCAACTCAAAAAAAAAGGAATCCTGGCCAGGTGTGGTGGCTCACGCTTGTAATCCCAACACTTTGGGAGGTCAAGATGGGAGGATTGCTTGAGTCTAGGAGCTTAAGACCAGCCTAGGCAACATAGCAAGACCTCGTGTCTACAAAAAAATTAAAAAACAATTAGCCAGGTATGGTAGCATGCTCCTGTAGTCCCAGCTACTTGGGAAGCTGAGTTGGAACGATTGCCTGAGCCCAGGAGGTCAAGGCTGTGGTGAGCCATGATCGTGCCACTGCACTCCAGCCTGGGCAACAAAGACTCCTACTCAAAAAAAAAAAAAATAGAGAGAGTTTATCAGAGGACCCTCTTATTTCGTAGGTGAACCTTAAGCATACTTTTAAGAATCACTGGATAAGGGGAAGGATGGTTAGATTGTATTTCTTGATTCCAGTGTGACTCTTCTGCATGTAACCAATAGCTTTTAGCATTTCTAATATCTTTTTTAAGAAATTTATTTTTGCCGGGCTCAGTGGCTCAGCCTGTAATCCCGTGCCTTTGGAAGGCTGAGGTGAGTGGATTGCCTTAGATTGTATTTCTTGATTCCAGTGTGACTCTTCTGCATGTAACCAATAGCTTTTAGCATTTCTAATATCTTTTTTAAGAAATTTATTTTTGCCGGGCTCAGTGGCTCAGCCTGTAATCCCGTGCCTTTGGAAGGCTGAGGTGAGTGGATTGCCTTAGATTGTATTTCTTGATTCCAGTGTGACTCTTCTGCATGTAACCAATAGCTTTTAGCATTTCTAATATCTTTTTTAAGAAATTTATTTTTGCCGGGCTCAGTGGCTCAGCCTGTAATCCCGTGCCTTTGGAAGGCTGAGGTGAGTGGATTGCCTTAGATTGTATTTCTTGATTCCAGTGTGACTCTTCTGCATGTAACCAATAGCTTTTAGCATTTCTAATATCTTTTTTAAGAAATTTATTTTTGCCGGGCTCAGTGGCTCAGCCTGTAATCCCGTGCCTTTGGAAGGCTGAGGTGAGTGGATTGCCTTAGATTGTATTTCTTGATTCCAGTGTGACTCTTCTGCATGTAACCAATAGCTTTTAGCATTTCTAATATCTTTTTTAAGAAATTTATTTTTGCCGGGCTCAGTGGCTCAGCCTGTAATCCCGTGCCTTTGGAAGGCTGAGGTGAGTGGATTGCCTTAGATTGTATTTCTTGATTCCAGTGTGACTCTTCTGCATGTAACCAATAGCTTTTAGCATTTCTAATATCTTTTTTAAGAAATTTATTTTTGCCGGGCTCAGTGGCTCAGCCTGTAATCCCGTGCCTTTGGAAGGCTGAGGTGAGTGGATTGCCTTAGATTGTATTTCTTGATTCCAGTGTGACTCTTCTGCATGTAACCAATAGCTTTTAGCATTTCTAATATCTTTTTTAAGAAATTTATTTTTGCCGGGCTCAGTGGCTCAGCCTGTAATCCCGTGCCTTTGGAAGGCTGAGGTGAGTGGATTGCCTGAGCCCGCGGGTTTGAGACCCGCCTGGGCAACTTGGCAAGACCTCATCTCTACAATAAATCAAAAATGAGCCGGGTGTAGTACTGCGCGCCTGTAGTTCCAGCTACTTGGAAGGCTGAGGCAGAAGGATTGCCGGAGCCCAGCAGGTCGAGGCTGCGGTGGCTGGGAGCAGCCACTGCACTCCAGTCTGGGCGACAGAGTGAGACTCCAACTCAAAAAAAAAGAAAGAAATTTATTTTTATTAAGAAATCCATGCCATTTGTCCTTATATCCCATGGAAAGAAACATGAGTAGATTACATATATACTTCTTTCCAAAAACAAACAAAAGCTTCTCAAAAACACACAAGTATGTATAGGGAACACTTAATTTCTGCATTAGAAATTGTACTAAATAGCACTAGACTCTCAGCCCACAGTGTGCACACAACTCTTTCTGTTTTTATTTTTAATTTATTTTTCTTTATTTATTTTTATAGAGACAGTGTCTTGCTTTGCTGCCCAAGCTGGTCTTGAACTCCTGAGCTCAAGTGATCCTCCCAAAGTGGTAGTATTATAGGTGTGAGCCATAATAGTGAATTCAGTTAATAGTAATAGTAATTCAGTTAATAGTGAATGCGTTTTATTACTACAGGATACCTCTTTAGGGAACCATCTGTTAAACTTCTGGGAATTTATAGAATAACTTTTTCTATTCAGGCCATTTAATTTATTTTTTTTTAATTTTTTTGAGTTGGCGTCTCACTCTCACCCAGGTTGGAGTGCAGTGGCACGCTCTTGGCCCCCACAGCCTCGACCTGCTGGGTACAGGTGATCCTTCCACCTCAGCCTTCCAAATAGCTGGAACTACAGGTATGTGCCACCATGCCTGGCTAATTTTTGGTTTTTTTGTAGAAATGAGGTCTCACCAAGTTGCCCAGGCTAGTCTCAAACTCATGAGCTCAGGCAATCCTCTCACCTCGGCCTCCCGAAGTACTGAGATTATAGGCATAAGCTACCACGCCCAGTCAGGGCTTTTTAAAGGAGAATTAAGATGAAGTGGTTACCAAACAAGGCACTCAGTGTAGCAGCATCAATCACAAATAAGAATCCTTAGGACCCACCTATAGTAATTGTGATCACAATTCTTAGAAACCCCACTTGCTATAGACTTCAATTAGAATTCTCACTGGGCTACTTGAGAGGCTGTGGCAAGGAGGATTGCTTGAGCCCAGAAGTCCAAGACTGTAGTGCACTATAATTGTGTCTGTTAATAGCCACTGCACTCTGGCCTGGGCAATATGGCAAGACCCCATCTCTAAAAAACAAAATTTCTCACCCGGAATAGGCAAGCAACTATGCAACTTTGTCTTTTACCCATTAAGCACTTCTAGAGTCTAAACAAAACCAATTCAAGTAAGATTTGAGAATAATATCATGCCTTTCTAAAATGCCTTGCTAATGGGCAGTTTTACATCAGGTTTAGAACTGTCTATGACATGAATTGTACAGTCTTGTAACTCTAACTAGTGACTTTACATTTTTATTTTATTTATTTATTTATTTTTGAGTTGGAGTCTCACTCTGTCGCCCAGACTGGAGTGCAGTGGCCGCTCCCCGTGCTACCACGCCTGGCTAATTTTTGATTTATTGTAGAGATGAGGTCTCTCCAAGTTGCCCAGGCAGGTCTCAAACCCGCGGATTCAGGTAATCCACTCACCTCAGCCTCCCAAAACACGGGATTACAGGCTGAGCCACCAAGCCCGGCTTACTTTTTTAAAATATTCTTTATAAATACCCCATTTGGCTGTGTTCTAGCAGCAATTTCATGGACTGGCCTGTGATTAAAACTAGAATTTGAAAGGCAGTCACAATTTAATCTAGGCTATCAAGAGGCATGTGCTCAATAAATACAAATGTTTAGAGACACTGAAAATTGTGGCAAAAGACATTTTAAGAGAATACACAAGTAGTAAGAAAACAGCTGAACTTCACTGTCTGCTTTTTAGTGTTTGAGATTTTTTATTTTATTTTATTTTTTTTTTTGAGTTGGAGTCTCACTCTGTTGCCCAGACTAGAGTGCAGTGGCCACTCCCGGCCACCACAGCCTCAACTTGCTGGGCTCTGGCAATCCTTCCGCCTCAGCCTTCCGAGTAGCCGGAATTACAGGCATGTGCTACCATGCCCGGCTGATTTTTGATTTATTGTAGAGATGAGGTCTCGCTGCCCAGGCGGGTCTCGAACCCGCAGGCTCAGGCAATCCACTCACCTCAGCCTCCCAAAGGCGCGGGATTACAGGCTAAGCCACCGAGCCCGGCGAGATTTATTTTTTAGTTAAACAAATTAGGTAACTATTTGAGTAATAATTTCTTAATTACAAATTTACTGACCCCTTTATAGACAAATTATTCATTAACCTTCCCAGGGATAACCATGGCTCCTAATCAAAGCATATTATGGTTGGTCAAATTGCTCAGCACAAAGAAAGAAATGGCCATGCATGGTGGCTCATGCCTGTAATCCCAGCACTTTGGAAGCTGAGGCAGGAGAATCTCTTGAGCCCACAAGTTTGAGACTTTTCTCTTAAGAACGTGCTTTTGGTGAGGCCAGGCTAGTAAGGCTGTGAATTTTTCCATTATTTTATTTTTCCATAGAAATAACGTTAAGGGGTTAGCTTTCTTTCTTTTTTTTTTGAGTTGGAGTCTCACTCTGTCGCCCAGACTGGAGTGCAGTGGCCGCTCCCGGCCACCGCAGCCTCGACCTGCTGGGCTCCGATGATCCTTCCACCTCAGCCTTCCAAGTAGCCGGAATTACAGGCATGCGCTACCACGCCCGGCTGATTTTTTGATTTATTGTAGAGGTGAGGTCTCGTTGCCCAGGCGGGTCTCGAACCCGCGGGCTCAGGCAGTCCACTCACCTCAGCCTCCCAAAGGCGCGGGATTACAGGCTGAGCCACTGAGCCCCGCTAGGGGTTAGCTTTCAAGAGGCCTAAGAAACTAAATAAACCTTTTTTGATTTAGTTGTGTTTTCAGGTTAGTCCCATTAAAAATTATCCTTGTATTTCAGGTAATTTCTCGGCATACGCGGGAGCTACTGGGAGTTGAAGAGCCATTATTCAAACGCTCCATCAACCTTCCCTATAGGGACATTATTGGCTTATTTTTAGAGCAAAAAAGTCATATTGGGATAAAATCTGATTCCTTGACCTTATCTGAATTTATCAAAGCAGCAGGATTACAGGATTACGATCCACAAATGACTGCCCCTGAAGAAAATGCAGCGTTACCTTACACTGAGCTGTAGGGGAGAGCCATTTCCCCTAGTTTGAAAGATCACACTAAATTACTTGGGGGAAGAGGTGAGTCTTCCTTGGTTTTTCTTTTTCTCCTTTTCATTAAGGATCAGAGTTAGAACAACTGGTGGCTCCATTCCTAGTTCTGTCCCTGACTCATGATACCTTCCCTTTATTTATTTTCCAGTGTAATTTCACGTTAAAACAGATAACAATACTTATCTTTCTGGGTAACTATAAGAATTCCTGACAAATTCTAATAACGCACCTGGTAGTCAGAACATGTTGAGGAAATATAATTTAAAATAAAATCTGCCGCCAACCCAGATAACCCTCTCCATAAAAGCAAAAGAAACCATTTTATCCTTGAATAGGCCTTCAACTAGGGTGTGTAGCACAGGCAAGCTGCTGAAGAGATTGCAAAGACAAAGAAATCATATCCTTTTAGATAGGCAGACACAGCCCTTTACATACAGATTAATTACCTGTACCCAAAGGAAAAATAAAACTTGTCATATCTTGACAACAAGCAGGAAATGACTACTTGGAGCCAGGGACCAGTGCTAAACTCCCTTAGAAACAGCGGGGCGGGACCATCCACCTCTGTGCTCACATGGCAGAGAGGTGGCTCAGAGGCCTCCAAAAAGAGACTGTCTGGGGTGTGAAATAGCAAGAGGCTTATTCAACTTTTTAAAAGATTTATATACATCTCAAAAACACAGAGAAAGAATTTACAATGACAAGTTCTCTAAAGGAAGTGTTTTAAGGGGAAAAAAAAGAGTGGGAAGTTTTTCACTTTCCCTTTTGACATTAGAAAAAAATTTAAACTTTTTTTTTAGATTTGTATATATCCCTAAAAACAACATGATTATTACTGACTATGAAGTAGGGTCTGGGGTTAGCTTACAAGGCTCTTTTATGTGGTACCTTGCAGATCTTTATAAAATGAATTTTAGCCTACAGCCTACCCATGACTGGACTGCTCAAAATAAATTATAAAAATATTTCTTATTGCTTGAATGACTCTAGTTCCTTCCTTGTTTTATAGACCTAACTGCTCTTTCTCTTCCTGGTCCCGCTTCTTAGTCCTGAAAACCACTATAGGGCTAACACAGTCCAGAAGGGCAGTGGTGTCCCTTGTCCAGTTCCCTATACCTGAATGAACAGTCAAAGGAATGTTTCTCTTCTTTTCTACTGAAAGGGGAACAATGCCTCCAATTAACATTCATGCAAAGTGTTAATATTTGATGATGAACCTTACTTTTTCCTAAATTGGACATTTTATCAGGAACCATTCTAATACCATATCATTGAATTTGCCTTGCTCACAATATGCAAGAACCAAAAACAAAAGCAAAACAAAGTGTAAATGATGAAGACCATGGTGATTTACATGAATCATATGTGGTTTTGTTCAAAGCACTTTAGCATTTATCAAGCAGTGATTCTGTTCTGTGACAGAGCATAGTAAAGTGATATCCTTTCCTAGCTTGATGGGGTCACTGCTATTGTTTTTAACTCTATTGTAATTGACAAAAAGTATTTGTAAAACATAAATGAAATAACAAATTTGCATTATAGAAGATCTATATTTTGCAAACTTATTTCTAGCCTTTTAATATAAATGCCAGTTTTGTAAAGGTTTTAAATGATTTAAGTGGGAGCAGCTTTCAATAAGATAGTAGGGCAGTCATATATGAAGTGAGTCATAATTAAGATTACCATACATTCACTTTTTTTTTTTTTTGAGTCGGGGTCTCACTCTGTTGCCCAGGATGGAGGACAGTGACATGATCATGGCACACCAGTCTTAGCTTTCTGAGTTCAGGCAATCCTTCTGTCTCAGCCTCCAGAGTAATGGGGACTACAGGTATGTACCAGCATGCCAGGCTAATTTTTTTTTTTTTTTTTTTTTTGGTAGAGATCTTGCTGTGTTGCTCAGGCTGGTCTCGAACTCCTAGGATCAAGCAATCCTTTCGCCTCAGTCTTCCAAAGTGCTGGGATTACAGGCATGAACCACTGTGCCCAGCCTACCATACATTTGCTTCTGTATCCAGAATCATAGAAAAATCAAACTCATTTGCCAGCTACATACTGCTAGTAAATTGATTGGAATTTGCTAATCAATTTGGAATTTGAGCAATTGGAAAAGAAACTGCAGTATGCAAAATTGTCTAACAATGACATTATGGCTTTTTGAACTTAGCTTTTAGAAGAGAAATAATTTGTATTAACGAGGTTTTCTGGGGAAGCAGCTTACTTAGGTATGTTAGATTGTGTCATTTCATTGGCTGCTAAGTCAGGCACATATTGATGTATGGGACTGCTTATTTTATTCTACAGTTTAAAGAGCCATCAGTACAGTTTTCTAATTCCTAGTGCCTAATATGTGACAAACACAATACAGTCATATGACTCCCACTGTCAATTGTGATCATCAGTACATAACCATCATAGAGACAAAGTGTGAGGGAGAAAGAATCCTGATTCCCAAGTTCTCTTATCAGGATGGAGCACCTGTGGAAACCACTGGCTGTTCTTTGGTTAGGGAGATGCCAAATGAATCACAGTATAGGTAGGTAAGGTGGTCTCGGAGAACAGCACTGGTTGAGAGACGCCGACTGAAGGGTGTTTCCTTGAGTTGCACAGCAGTCAGATCAAACCAGGGGAAAGGCCTGCAGTGAAAAAAAATACTGTGACTTTGCTATGTCTGGTTGGTGTATCCTGCTTTGTCTGCTAAATACTTCCTTTAAAGAGAGTTTTCCTCCACTTGGAATACCAAACTAATTAAAATTCAAAGTGAAACTAGAAATTCACCTTGAACTATTCAATGTGTAGATTTAATTGTACTTATGGTGACTTTTCAAACTTAAACACATTTCTCTAAGTTCATTTGGAGAGGAATTCATAATCAGAAAATGATTATAACATTGACATTGATACCCTTTACGGTATATTTTCCTTGAATTTAGAAAGAACATACATAAGAGGACCATGGACATTAGGCAAGGAAAATAACTAATTGCTTTTAAGATATCCTCTTCAGCTGTGTAAGATACAAAGTAGAAGTTAATATGCAAATGAATGGGACGATAGTATGATTTTATATTGTAATTCAAATTAAAAAGCATTAACACATGAGTTTTTATATTTTTTTAAAGATCAGGAAGGTAATAATGGTGCATTCCTGTAGTCCCAGCTACTTAGGAGGCTGAGGCGAGAGGATCACTTGAGCCCAGGAGTTCAAGGCTAGCCTGAGCAATATAGCAAGACCCCGACTCTTAAAAAAAAAAAAAAATCAGGGGAAGACGAGAATATCTGTTCTTGCCATATTTGTTTAACATAGTACTAGAAGTTCTAACCAGTGCAATAAGGCAAGAAAAGGAAATTAAAGGGCATGCAGATTTTAAGAAAGAAATGAAACTGTCTTTATTTACAGATGACATGATTATCTATATAGAAAATCCCAAGGAATCTATTTTTAAAACAACCTAGAACTAATGAATTTAGCAAGGTTGCACAATATAAAATAAACACACAAGCCGGGCTCGGTGGCTCAGCCTGTAATCCTGCACTTTGGGAGGCTGAGATGAGTGGATTGCCTGAGCCCACAGGTTCGAGACCCACCTGGGCAAATTGGTGAGACCTCATCTCTACAATAAATGAAAAAATCAGCCAGGCATGGTAGGGCATGCCTGTAACTCCGGCTACTCAGAAGGCTGGGGTGGAAGGTTTGCTGGAGCCCAGCAGCTCGAGGTTGCAGTGGCCGGGAGCAGCCACTGCACTCCAGTCTGGGCGACAGAGTGAGACTCCAACTCACATGTGGGCATTAAAATTAAAAATGCAATTTTATTTATAATCCCAAAAAACGGTATACTTAGGTGTAAATCTAATAAAACATATGCAAGACATTGCACAATGAAAACTATAAAATGCTGATAAAATAAATCAAATGGAGAGACCTAACTGTATTCCTGGACTCAACAAAATTAAGATGTCAGTTCTCCACAGATGGATCTACAGATGTAATGGTAAAATAAAAATTAGTGACAACACTCAATACTGGTGAGGATGCAGAGAAACTGGATCATACATTGCTGTTGGTGATGCAAAATGGCACAACTCTGAAAAACAGTTTGGCCGTGTCTTCAAAAAATAACCATGCAACAACCATATGCTTCAATAATTACACTCCTGGGCATTTACTCCAGAGAAGCGAAAACTTGTTTTCACACAAAAACCTGTATGTGACTGTTCATAACAGCCTTATTCATAATAGCCCCAAACAGGAAACAACCCAGATGTCCATCAGTAGGCGGATGGTTCAACAAATTTTGACACAGCCATGCCCTGGAATGCTACTCTGCAATAAACAAACTACAAATACACATAGCAACTTGGATGAGTCTCCAGAGGTTTACAGTGAATGAAAAAAACCAATCTCAAAGGTTTTATACATATGATTCCATTTATATAACATTCTTAAAATACCGAATCATAGGAATGATGTATACGTTAGTGGTTACTGGGTTTGTGGGTGAGGGGGAGCAACATGAAGAATCCTTTCGTGAAATAACTGTTCTGTATTTTAACTGGATCAGTGTTAGTATCCTGGTTGTGATATTGTACTATGATTTTACAATATCTATTATATAGATATCACAGTTTGTGCCATTGAGAGAAAAAAGGTAAATGTTTACATGGGATCTCTCTATTATTTTTTAATCTCATGTGAATATAGGTCTCAAAATTTAAAAAGTATCTTGACTTCCAGTTTCTAGTTTGACATGTAGGAAATTGGAAGTTGCCACTGAATCCCAACAATAAGTAAAAAGCTGAACAAACTAAAAAATCAACAACTCTTCCTAGATCCATCAAAGAAGCAGGGTCACAGGGCAAACTATTATATCCAAAACTGAAGACACCAAAAGGTGCATGCTCAGAGTCATAGCTTGCTAGAGCAGAAAACCATAAGCAGAAACATTTTCAGGAACCGGTGCCAAGATGGGGAAACCTGAACTGTAACTGACAAATTGCTGGAGGCTTAAAGTGGACAAGTCTAAGAATAAAAACTCAGGGGAACCCAGTCTTTGGTACCCTCACACTTTTGTGATTTTTTACCTAGGAGCTCGATCATGTTCTTATAAATATTGAAGAAAAATCTTGTTGTGCTTCTAGCATAGAGAAGGGAAAAGGAACCATTTTGAAATATACCTTTTTTTTCTCTCTCTTCTTATCAAGGTCTGCCCTCAAGATAAACTATTTAACCAGAATCTAACTTTTGGGGGGATTTATCTGAGCCTAACTGACCAGGAGGAAGGGAAATATCCAATTCCAGTCAACTGTGCCCTTGCACACGGAAGAAGGGAATACCCAACTCAAGCCCACTTTAGCCATCTTGTTTTACTGAGGGAGGATTTTTAAAAATCTGAGAAACCCTTATGAAGCTCGCAGTCCAGGGGCACAGGCTTACTAGAAGGCTGATACCTACTCACAGGACTATAGAAAGCATCCCCTCCCCAACACCTTACCACCACATTACTTAAGGCCTATTTGCAGCAGTTCCTTTTACCTGGTACATCTTGCTTGGCTGTCAAGAAGAAATTAAAGCATACTAAAAGGCAAAAAACAACATTTGGAAAGACAGAGCAAGCATCAGAACACACATGACAGGGATGTTATAATTCCCAGATGGGAAATTTAAAACAGTGATGACTAATGTGCTAAGGGATCTCATGTACTTACAGTGACTTTTCAAACTTAAACACATTTCTCTAAGTTCATTTGGAGAGGAATTCATAACCAGAGAATGATTATAACATTGACATAAAGTAGACAGCAGGCAATGACAGGTGGAAGGTCCACGTGAGCAAGGACAGAGCATTGAAGAAGGAATAAGTGAAGGTAAAGTAAAAACCTTAATTTTTCTTATTCTTAATTGATCTAACAGGTAACAATTCGTTCAAACTAATAATGGCAACAGTGTATTCAAGTATGCTGTGTGTGTGTGTGTGTGTGTGTGTGTGTGTGTGTGTGTGTGTGCACTTGTATAAAATGAATGACCACAATAATACAAGGGACAGGAGGGAGGAATTAGGATTATTTTGTTATTATTAAGGTACTCATATTACCCATGAAGTGGTATAGTGTTATTTGAAATCAGACTTAGATTAGTTGTCAATATATGTTGTCAGGTTGTAGGATACAAGATTAACATATAAAAATCAGCCTCTTTCCAATATATCAGCAATGAACAAGTGGAATCTGAAATTAAAAACACATTATCATTCATATTAGCACCCTCAAAAATGAAATACTTAGCCAGGCACAGTGACTCACACCTGTAATCCCAGCACTTTGGGAGGCAGAGGCAAGAGGATTGCCTGAGTCCAGGAGTTCAAGACTAGCCTGGGTAACAACTTGGCAAGACCTCGTCTCCACAATAAATAAAAGAATTTTATGGTGACATGTGCCTGTAGTTCCAGTTACTTTGAAGGCTGAGGCAGAAGGATTGCCTGAGTCCAGCAGGTAGAGGCTGCAGTAGCCATAAGCCACTGCACTCCAGCCTGGACAACAGAGTGAGACTCCAACTCCAAAAAAAAAGATGAAGAAGAGGAAATACTTAGGTATAAATCTAGCAAAATACATACAAGATCTATATAAGGAAAACTACAAAACTCTGATGAAAAAAATCAAAGATAACAAAATCATGTTTATGGATAGGAAGACTTAATATTGTCAAGATGTCAATTCTTCCCAACTTGATCTACAGATAGAATGTAATCTCAATCAGAATCCAAGCAATTATTTTGTGGATATTGACACATTGTTCCTAATATTTAAATGGCAGGGGATAAGCCTCAGAACAGCCAACCCAATATAGAAAGACAAGCATAAAGTCAGAGGACTGACACAACCCAACTTCAAGACATACCATAAAACTATGGCAATCAAGTCAGTGTGGTGTTGGTAAAAGAACAGGCAAGTGGTATTCAATCAACAGAACAGAAAGCCCAGTAATAGATCCACAAAATGTAGGTAGCTGCTCTTTGACAAAGGAGCAAAAGCAATGTAAAACTAGGATGAGTAAGTGAGGGCAGGTAAACTAATAGAAGGAAACTTTGTTTTCATTATGGAAATTTCAAAACCATAAAAAATGGAATGAAAGAGAATAGTATTGAATGAAGACGAATACAATGAGAAATAGAATCGTATAATGAAACTCCATGTACCTATCACTCAGATTTAACAATGATCAGTGTATGGTTAATTTTGTCCCATCCATAATCCCACCTCCAATTATTTATCCCCATCTATTGAATTTTTTTATTTTTTGAGTTGGAGTCGCACTCCTTTGCCCAGGCTGAAGTACAGTGGCACACATACTCACGGCCACCCCAGCATCGTGGATTGCTGGGCTCCGGCAATCCTTCCGCCTCAGCTTTCCAAGTAGCCAGAACTACAGACACGTGCTACCACACCCAGCTATTTTTTTATTTTATTGTAGAGACGAGGTCTCGCCAAGTTGTCCGGGCTGGTCTTGAACCCACAGGTTCAGGCAATCCACTTGGCTCAGCCTCCAAGAGTGCTGGGATTACAGACTGAGTCCCTGAGCCTGGCCATCTGTTGGATTTTAAAGCAAAATCCCAGATACTATATCATTTGATGTATAACT